TGAAACTAAAAAATTATCATTTACATAAATATATACAAATGAAAGTAAAGCTAATTTGTTGAACAACTAAAAAATCAAGCTACGCATTTTTTGCAACTTGAAAAAATAAATATCGCAAATAATTTCGAATAATTCGTAAAAATAGACTAGCATTGGTTATTTTAACTAATTTTCATGAAAAATTGGGGACTTCAAGTTTTGAAAAATTCTTGCAATTTTTTTGCAATAAGAAAATTGTATTTTACATTAGTTAAACTTGTAAATTTTGTTGCATTTAAGGTAACGAAGCATTCAAATTTGCGAAATTTTTCCGATTTTCGCAATTTGCAAAAAATTGGCAAATGTTTGCAACACTCTTTGCATATTCGTGATCGGGCTGAAATTACTTGGACGGGTACATATATAATTTTTCAATATTCCATAAAGTTCATTTCAGCATTCGAAAGGCTGGTGGCTATGTTAAAAGCATTGGGAAAATGGCAGGTTTTGGTGCAGCTCTCGCCAAATATTTCGCGAAAACGTGATTTTGCACCGCATGTTCTATGACAAAGTTTTAGTTTCACTAAATTATCTGTCGATTAAGGGTATTCCGAAGGAAATCGAGATTGTACAGTAGTTGAGGTTCCCTTGTAAGATTAACTCAAATATCCGTCGTTTCATTGAATCATTAAAATTCTGAAGAGTTTCCAATGGGATGTTCGCCCATCCTTCGTGAATTTGGCGTTCCAGTTCTTGTTTGGTCCGATACTGGCGTCCGTGTGAGTAAACTCGACGCGAAAGTTCTGCCCACAGATTCTCCATTGGATTGAGATCGGGACTTCTTGCTGGCCAGGGCAAAGTCCGCATGTTTCTCCTCGCTAAAAAGTTCAGTGTGGAGCGAGAAGCGTGAATTAAAGCGTTGTCTTGCTGGAAAATCCACCCTCTCCCTCCAATTTTTGGACCTTCTCGAATGAGATTTGCCTTGAGGACTACTTGGTAGCCTAGGGAATCTGCTCTTGGTGGGATCGACGCAAGTTCAGTCTTTCCATTCTACCCAAATCCTCCCCAAAGCATGACAGACCCACCCCCTATTAATGAGCCAATAATATATTTTTATATTTACTGATTAAGTAGTTTAGTGTGAAAATAACTGGTCAAAAATGGTTTCTGACATACCTGCTTGTCGCTTAGAAAAGATTTCTGGTTCCTTCTTGAGATGGTGCCAATAATACGAGTAACCATCCGGTCCATCAGATTAAACTTTTTTTCGTCCGTGAAAATGACCTTTTGCCACTCTTTTTCCCATGACATGTACTTCCTGGCGAATTCCAGCCTTGCGTCCTTGTGGCGTTGGGTCAAGGGAGGCTGGGTAAGTCTTTTCCTCCACTCCAAGTCGGTATTATTAGTCAGGGACCTGTGTACGGTGTCCTTTGAGACAGTAAACGGCAGTTCCCTTCGAATTTCTCTGATAGAGTACTGCCCTGTTGCGGCAAGTTTGCCAATTTGTCGCCCATCCCGAGGTATCAAAATCTTAGGGCGACCATAGGAAGTTGTTTCAAGGCCTTGGTGGGTCTTTGAATTAAGATAATTCGAAATTGCACTTTGCGAAAACCCGAGGAAATTTTTTTTAAATGGCCAATGAATTTTTTTTATGTTGCTAAGGAATTTTTTTTATGTTGCTAAGGAAATTTTTTTATGTTGCCAAGGAAATTTTTTTATGTTGCCAAGGAAATTTTTTTATGTTGCCAAGGAATTTTTTTATGTTGCCAAGGAAATTTTTTTATGTTTCCAAGGAATTTTTTTATGTTTCCAAGGAATTTTTTTATGTTGTAAAGGAAATTTAATCATAATCATAATCATAATCATAATCATAATCATAATCATAATCATAATCATAATCATAATCATAATCATAATTCTTATCTGTTCCCTGATTGGTGGAGCCGGAATCTGAACAGCGAATCAGAATACAGGAATGTCACGGAAAATTTCACGGGACGGACTTTTCGAAATTATAATATAGATTTAATGTAGATTCTGAATATAATATGCAGTTTTTGGTTTTCCTTACCGAGAATGAACCATTAATTAAAAATTGGAGAAGAATGGAAAATTCATGCAAAAAATTAAATCGTACCCTTTCAGTTTTTTGATCAGCTCATCCTTGCACACACTTAAAAACAATAATTCTTAACTCAACTTCGATTGATATACGGTTTTTAATATTTTATGTAAAAGGTTTCAATTTTTTTGACTTTGATGATGCTAGACATCCCGAAAAATGAGTAGAAAATAGCCATATGCCGTGGAAAAAAAGAGGGTCATTTTCCTGCATAGGAAAGGACTATGCTACTATAAAATTGCATTGGGGACGAAGTTTCAGGAGCCAACTATACAATTCCTTGCCCAAACATGGGAGAAAACTTGATTCTTGGGCAATTTTCATTGAAGACGACACAAAACGGCAATCAACAAGGGCGAGCATCCAAATATAATCCGCAAGATCTTGACCAATTAGGGACTATTGGCTTCAAAAATTGCATCTGAACTGCAGGAACAATACAAAAGAAGGGTTTCTACTCAAACAATCAGATGCAGGGTCCGGGAATGGGTCTTTATGGGTCGAAGTGCGAGCAAGAAGCCATTCATTTATAAGTCAAATATGGCACAGCGTACTAAATGGACCCTGAAACTCAGCGTTAGGATTCTGAATGACTGAAAACGTGTCAGTCAGCATGACACAAGCATGTGCAACAAATTTAGGGCAATTGCAGTCGTGAAGATATGGAAGAAACCTGGAGAAGCCCTTAAACCCAAATCCATAAAAAAGACAATGTAAAATAATCAGGGAATTGTGATGGTTTGGGCCCCAAAATTTTGGAATGATGTTGGAACTTTATGTTTATTGAGTCAAACATCAACAATGAAGTCCAGCTGACAATTCTGGAGGGAAATCAGGTCCGCTGAGCGAGGAAATTGAGACTTGTGACGAAAATAATTTTGCAATTCGACGTGAATCCCAAAAATACGCCAAGTTAATTAATCGGTACCTAGAGTAAAAGGGAATTTATGCCCTCCCATGGGTTGCCTGATCTACTGACCTCAACCCCATCGAAAATTTATGGGCATAATTGGCGATGAGGATTTCCAACCGAAAACCGAAGTCCAAATATGACTTGCATGTTATTTTATGCTAAGTGTGGCTAAACGTCTGACCGGAGGTGACACAGAATTAGTAGAATTCATGCCGCGGCGTATCATAGCTGTAATTGAAGTATACCGAGGCGTTTCAAAGTGTTAACTAATTATTAAACACAATTTGTATTAAAAATCCACAAGGGTACGATTTAATTTTTTGCATGGATTTTAAATCTTCCCCAACTTTTTAATTAGTGGTTCACAATTGGTAGGGAAAAACAAAAAATGCGTGTCATTTTCGGAATCTACGTTAAATTTCCTACAAGACTGATGCATTACATAACAATAATCGATTTCCATCAAGTAGAAAACCATGGATTTATGACGTGATAGAAAAGGGTAGGATTTAAATTTTTGCTTACTGTAGTTTCAACAATATAGATAGCTTAAATTACAACTTCGTGGAAATACAAGAGATTATTAGTAATTAATGCTACTTATAATTTGTCCCCGACGTACATACGCAAATTGGATTTGTACATACGGCAGCATACGTTATCGTTTCGGTGAAATTCTAATTATTTCTACAAAATGAAAGGCACGTAGGCAACCTGCCTACGTGACATACATAAGGTACATTAAATTTCTCGGGGAAAAAATAATAATTATGGCCATGTAATACATAAATTCATAATCGCGCTAAATTAGGCACATACTTAGAATTTTGTTATCCTCAAATTTTTCTGCGTACGCCCCGAACTGCAAGCTTGCAATTCGATTTTGTATAAAAGAGGAGACACGACTCCTTGCGACCCTAGGACTCTTTTTTCCGCCATTCTGAGAATTTAGACGTAGGAAAGTACGTGCATGAAATAATTTTCAAAATCAGAACATTTATAATTATTTCGTAACTCTAGGTATTTATTTAGTAATTTCGAACGACGAATTTTGATGTATCTATTGTGTAATATGTAGCTGTGCCATTCGGGAAGGATTTCAAAATTAAATAAGCCGGTCTTTATTTTTGCCTACATATTTATACATGTACTTACGTTTAATGCCCGAGTTTGGATATTCCAGGTTACATAAATACGCAAATTTGAACCAAATGGCACTATTTAGCTTTTCATATATTTTTGGACACAGTTACCATACGCATACAACCAGAAGGGCAACAACGCGTTAACATGAGAACCTGTAAAAAATTGAACTTGTTTTCATTCATTCATGGGCTACCCATTAACTCAGGAGGTAGAGAAAAGCACCATCGAGTCAGACTGATTTTGATAAAAACTCCAAACACGTCCCATTTTATTTTGAGAAACAAGTAAATTTTTTGGGCAGCTGAATTAGTATTAAAAGGGACGGGTAGTGGTGGATATTTCATCTTCTTACCTATATAGCTTCTCATAGGTTGAATTGCAACACGACGATTGTCTTCATTTACTTTGTAAATTGACCACAATTTTGTGCAGATTTTTGACTTCAATACATACATATGATTTGACGTGATTGTTCAAATTAATCGTGATGTTGGTAATTTTTGGCGTGGTAAGTAGTATCTGATTAGCTTGTGAGAATGATCATTAAAGGATAAAATTGTGTGAAAATAGATTTTTCCATACTCAAAAGTGTGGTAAGCCATATGTATACTTGCGTAATATTCTGCTTACGTATGTCAAGTGTGTAAGAAATTGTGCATTTGTCGCGTCCAGATAAAATGAAATGAGACACAAGATTGAACGTTGGTAATGCGATATGAACGAAATGTGGCAATCTTATCATAACACGACTAACGCGTGCTGTCCATCAGCTTATCAACTTATCTTTATTGACGTCCTTTGCTCCGCGTCAAGTGTTCCCATTTTTATGAATAAATACTGCGCATTTCGTAGATACATACTTGTCCAGTCATATTCCATTTGTTGAGGAGACTTATTCTGTATTTTTTATAATTGGTGGTGCTAATATTTAAGATGAACGGTTTCAATTTAATGATTTGTGTGATATTCGTCCAACCAATTTCCGGCAGTGAGACGGATGGTAAGACATTTCTTACATGAATAATCTCACCTCAATACAAATTTGTCTAATTTGTTTTCCACTTCAGTTGGTGGTGGAGTCGCGGATAAAAATCGTCAAAATTATGGATACGAAATTTTTGTCGGGAAGGGATCTACTTCATTGTATTTCATATTGCAAACAACGGTAACTTCCTAAATGAATTGGACATGAAGACAGTGTTTAATTGGTATTATTTTAACTCCAGGGCCACTGGATGTATGCCCTTAATTACTGTCATAATCACAACTTTGCGCCTGGTCGAATCTCGACCGAGCGGGATTTCGAAATAGTCTCCAACTTCATAAAGTCAAACGGACTACCGGAAGCAAATCGTAAAATGTATTAAATATTTTTGTGGTTGAAGGTTTTTTAAATAATACTTGTTTCAGAATCAATCTGGCTACCCGCCACGGATCACGGAAATGAGGGAACGTTTCGCTGGCTGGATCGCCTTGATGAGGTTGCCGTAGGCAATTGGAGTGGTGGAGCGCCCTCTGGAAATAGAAGTTTGAACTGCTTGAAGATCAATAGCGATGGGTTGTACCAAGGCGATTCATGTTCGCGGGGTCGAAGAGCACATTATGCGTTATGTGCCGTAGAAAATTTGCATGACAACGACCAATATAATAATTATGTGCAGACAGCGCCCAAAAAATTGATTGACCTTGTGGAAGATGAGGTTCGAGGTTTGCGTCCGATAGGTAGCGTTGGAAGGAAATTGTACTATGTGGACGACACGAACATACTGGAGGTGGCGAATTTTTTCGGATTCCTACATGAATATACAGGGTGGTTTAAATGTCAGGATACAAGGCAAACTTTTTCAATGGGAAGAATTCGCAAATCTTCATTAGTTACAGAAATTCTGCCCAAGAAATTCAATATTTTAAGAATTTTGTCATCAGTTTTGAATAAGTTTTGTTGAAATTCTCATCCCCAAATCCGTAACTGGTGGAAATTTACGAATTTTTCCCATTGATAAGCTTTCCATTGTACATAACCTGACATTTTTGCCACCCTATGTGTCTCATTGATTTGTACCGGTTTATTTATACAATCCTAGAAATCGTGGCTTGAAGGGGTAGATTTTTGTCACGAAAATGGAATGAGAATCGCCGGCCCAGAAACCGTGGAGGAGATCGATTTCTTAAGAAACTTTGCAAATGAGGAGGCGAACGCGGGTTTGGGTTAAAATAATCGTTAACCTAATTGGTAAATAGTGATAATTGCCTTTCTATCTACTTAATAGGAAGGGATGCACTTTTTCATATTGGTGCAACTGACATGATGGCGATGTCCTGTTCACGGGGAAATACCAAGTTTCGCTTGTTCCAATTGGGTAAGGATGTAATTAGCGAGACGGGTTTGGACGGGTTTGGAGGTTGGTGGTGGTATAAGTGTGCTTTCATGACAACGACGGAATTTCGGGCATCCGATTGCATTAGCGGGGCGCAGTTTAGAATAATATGTGAAGTTGAAAACACTTCAGGTATGTAATTTACTAACTATGTAGTTTCTTTTAATCAGAGCTTTTAACTTAGCCACATTTCTAATTAATTAGTATTTGATAATTTGAAAGATAATATTTTGTCTTATTAATTGGTAATTAGTAATTAAACTCTTGAGGTTGGTAATTAAGTTAATTAATTAGCTAATTAATTAGAATATTAATTAATCAACTGATTGGTGATTTTAAATGATTTTCTAATTAATTAGTAAGAAAAATTAGCTTTGGTAGTACTAAATAGTTAAGGTTAACTCGTAATTAATAATTAGTTTAAACGCGCTATTTAATTAGATAATTAATTACAGATAGATTCACTAATTAATTAAAAAACCTTGCTTTTAATGAAGGAGCTTAACAATTATTTAATCTCACATTTGTATCGTAAGTATAGTTCCATCTACTACAACCGTCTCGCCAGGACCGATTTGTGAACCTGGTCAATATTTCGTGCCACATCAAGATTGTAGATTTTACTACGTTTGCAATGAAGAGACTCCTACCTTGGCCCAATGTCCGAATGGTCTTTACTGGAATCAGGATTTGACAACGTGTGATTTTCCGGCCAATGTGGGAGAATGTGTGGGAGGAACACGGTAGGTTAGCTTTCGATTTACATAAATGATTAAATAATTCAAGTTGCAAATTGTTTCCGCGGCACATATGTAGGTCACCGTTCGATGAAAGTTAAGATCAATCCAGCAAGCGAATGGCTAAAGATTTGTTTGTTTCCTAAATTTATTTAAATAATTGAAAAGAGTATAAGAAATAAAATGTGAGACCAATTTTGAAATATCCGTAATTAATAAAAATTGCTAAAAAATATAAATGTAGCGATTAAACACGAATAACCAATTTTCTCAATTTCTACATGTCTTGATAATGAATAGCAGATTGCATTCGAAATATTGACAAAATAAAACAAATTCTTTTTCTTCGAGTTTTCCACTAAAACTCCGTGTAATCCAATTATTATTAAACACGAATACGATTTGTTAATGTTAAAAGAGAATTCGATTTGTACATTATTTAGACTACTTTTTTGAACAAGTCAGATTATATTGGACTAAGTTTGAGCTTATTAATAATAAACAAATGTAATAACTTTGTTTAATATTTTTGTTGGGGTTGCTTAAGATTTTGGGAATCGAAACCCTTTATTTCACAATTTATGTAGGTAAAATTATAATAGCAATCCGCATAATAAATATTTATTAAATATTAATATTCCATCTATTAGCATATTTTAATTCATTACATACAGGGTCGGTTATTTATATGATGCATATTAGTAAAATGGACCTTAAAATTGGATAGGTAATTTATGTTATACTCGGATTATATTGGAAATTAGCTTTATAAAATGTTCACCCCTGGGATAATTTTTCTGAATGATAATTTTTGCATCAGAATACATTACAAAACGATAATGCTCGTTATTATGGCGCCAGTGATGGGGTCACTGATACCCTCCGACTTGCAATGATTTAATCTAATTTTTTAAAAGTGTGTGTATGCAAAAAGTAATCGGCATTTATGCATCAAGTTAACTCAACGTCATAGTAATAATTTTGCATAGTGTATCCTCCGGTGACGGATGCATATATGTATTTATCTGCAAATAAGCATTTCACTTAAGTAATAACTTAAGTGTTTCATTAAACACGCCATTGTTGCTAAATTAGTTGAAAATGTAATTAATTGCTAATTACTTAATTACATTTGACGAGAGCAAGTAATTACTCACTCAATTACTAATTACGAAAAAAGATGCAAAGAAATACTCCGAAAAATAGCCAAAGGCTGAACTGAGAAAAAACTCGTTACACAAATGTGTGCAATCTGGAATATTTCCGAAAACTAATTGATAGCAGGGATATTCTACTTTGTCGAGAGTATTTTGCATCCGTGCAACTTATCAAACATCATATTAACAATTTTACATTTAAGCACACCAAACAACCTACAAATTTTGCTCCTACCTTCAAAACAGTAACACAACACAGAACCTGCAACTGCAACTCCGTACAGAACGAAAATTGTAACAACTCCCCCATTCAACCCTAACGAGAAGGAACTATCGTCCTTGCTTAGGCTAATTGCAGGCTTCCTATCCAACACGGCCCTATATCCCAGTTCCTGTTCTATTCGGGCATAAATTCCTGTTTCAATCAGGATTATATAATATTTTGGCACTTTGGAAAAACCCTCTCTCTTGAATACAAATCCTTTGGGAAGTGGATTTAGTATCTCTTTCCCTTTGTGGAATTCATTCTTATGATAATTCAAGGTTAGGAAGTCATACTCAAATTGTAGAAGGTCTGATTGAGCAATTAATACCGCTTTTCGGGAACAATCAACAATTTCTGTTTCTATCTTTCGCTGCATATAGGTTAGATTGAGGTCTTTTCTTGAGTAGTCAATTCCCTTTGGAAAATGGGAGTGACGTGGATTCAAAAGTTGCAGCATTCCCGCCAGATGGGGCCACTCTAGCAATGGAACCCATTCAGAACTTGGCTGGTGCCAGGGTCTGTATCCATCCAACTCTTTGGTCACATACGTTAGAAACTTAAATCCAATGACATCAATGCCGGGAAGTATGAATGGGGTTGACAACAATTTATAGCAATTGTTAGAATCGTTTCGATTTTGTAAATCGACAAAACTTTTATTTTGATAAAATTCGTAAAATCGAACACCTTCAAAGTACGATGAAATAAGGTTGATTTTTAATTTCTCTCTCCAATTGTGCAAGAAATCGGACGAATTGTAATAAGCAGACGAGTGTATTGCACCATCTTCGCATAGAAGATCTGCAAATGTTTCTGGAATTACGTTATTTAGCGGCGAATTTAGCTTAGAGATCATCAATCCGTTATAACAATTTGTTAGAATGACAGACATTAGACTCCAGATGCCAAAAATGTATCGGAATATTGTCAATTTGTCAATCTTGATCGGAACCGGGTGTGCCTCTTCTAGCAAAGTGGAAAGAACGAAAAGCCAGGGGGAAAACGAGACGTTTTCCACCTTGGCATAGCGAACGTACAACGAAATAATGGCGGTAATGACGAATAGGCAAATGCCTAGCCCAATCCATAAATCTGGTTGGAATGGATCCACGTAAAAGCGAAAACTTAAATACGATTCGGCATAACAGGTTAAGAATTGAAATCCCGAGAATTTCAAATTGACCATTGTACGGTCGTACTGGAAATATGAAATTTCTTCTAATACGATTTCCGCGTAGTTGATACGCTCAGAAACGGCAGTGGCTAGAGTCGCATTGGCTTTGCGGAACATGGCCTGAGCCAAATGTTCAACCGTGTAATGTTGGGAGCGGTCAAATGGATTAAAAGGATCGATGTCATTTACTAAAGTGATGTTTATTCCAAAATTATCTTTCTGTTTGCTCAAACTACGCACATCGAAATACCAATATTTAGGTGGCGTTGCTAGGTTGATAAATGTCATTATTGCATTGTCAATTTTTTCCACACAATTCAAATCTCCCTCGTGAACGTATGTCACGCCTTGGTCCTTAACACAGAAACGTGCCAAGCTGCCCTCCCGAGAAATGTAAGCTATGCCCAAGTTATCAATAGCCCTGTTATACGTTCCCCATTCCAATAACAAACTCAGAACTCCCGCTTTCTCACGATGCCCCACAACTACCACAAAAAGCTTCTTGTCACGGATGGGAAGAATTCGATTAGGATCAGGAAATTTGGGTCTGCAATAGAAATATGTACCGCTTGCGAGTTCCATCTCTTTCTTCGGATCATGTTGATATCGCCATTTCGAATCTAACGAGGTAAAAAATGTTATAAGAACAATTTGTACTCGGCACTTAGCAAAACGTGATTTAGTCAAATCGAATCTAGGGTGCTTATTAAGCATACGAAATAAAATTTCAGTTGGCAGGTGACCTCGATTTGAATGGAATGTACTGGACTCTACGCCATCGTGTAAGATTTGCAGGTCGCACGGGTAAACGTGGTCGAGGAGATGATCAATCTGAACCATGTTGGTCGCCATGATAAATTGTCGACTAATTAGAATGATCAATGTAAAACGTGTAATGCAAAATTTCTGAAAGTGGAAATATTTCTCGAAATTTCAACTCCAGTGTAATTTGTGAGATTAGGAACCTGAAGCTACTGTAATTTCAGAAGTCTTCCCAAGCCAAGAAAACGACAAAGCTCCCTTGGCATTCTCATGTTTGCTTTATGTTCCATGGTAACCAATTTATGGAAATGCACTTTAAAAATCGATGACACACGGTTTAAACACAAGTCATGGTATTACGTGTTCATTTACTAATGAATGTATATGCCTAATGGCAATGATAGTAACCAATGGTTACCATCATTAAATTTGCGAAATTTTTCCGATTTTCGCAATTTGCAAAATATTGGCAAATGTTTGCATCACCGTTTTGCATATTCGTCATTGGGCTGAAATTACGCGAACAAGTACATACATAATTTTTCAATATTCCACAAAGTTCATTTCATCAGCCGAAAGGCTGGGGACTATGTTAAAAGCATTGGGAAAATGGCAGGTTTTGGTGCAGCTCTCGCCAAATATTTCGCGAAAACGTGATTTTGCACCGCATGTTCTATGACAAAGTTTTAGTTTCACTAAATTATCTGTCGATTAAGGGTATTCCGAAGGAAATCGAGATTGGACAGTAGTTGAGGTTCCCTTGTGAGCCAATCCTTTGAATGTGTTGGCCTCTCGAGGCGAGGAGGGAGAAGAATTGCCTGCCAACGCGTCAGGGTCACTGACTGACGCGGCGTCAGAGCCGAACTTGGTGATTGGGCCATTCCCAATTCGTTCCGAGGCGGAGCTGTCCTTGTTGGAGGGAGAAGGGAGCCATCATCGCGCACGTCCCCACATCTGTTTTCATGTTCAACAGTTTAAACGTACCAATAAGTAATCACACAAAATACATATTTGCATATAATCACTTCTTCATTTCTACCATTCGTGACCAAGCCTGCTAGTGGTTACCAGCATTGCCATTAGGCATATGCATACATGAGTAAATGAACACGTAACACCATGACTTGTGTTTAAACCGTGTGTCATCGATTTTTAAAGTAAAGGGTGTTAATAAAGTCCGATCCCATGAATTTTTTGGAGCGCGGTTGTTACAAATTCAGCTGGAACTTTTGAACCAGTGAAGTTATTTATTTCAAATTTTTACCATGGGAGGAACAACTAAACGTGTAAGTCATGAGCATCTTAGAGTTAAGATACAAACATTGCATCAGCAGGGGTTTAAACCTGCAGAAATTGTGCAAAAATTGGGCTGCAGCCGCAGAACTGTTTGGAAATGGAAGAACAAAAATTTTGTCCACGACAAAAAGCGACCCGGGCGACCCAGAAAGGTGTCACCTACCACAAAGAGAATGATTAAAAACAGACTTTACAAGAAAACCGGTAGTTCATTACGTAATTGTGCAAGGGAGTTAAATGACTCAAAACGCTATAAAGAGAAGAAGAAGCAAATTAACTATGTGACCGTGCAAAAATTTGTGAAATCTACGAGGTGGGGTCACACAGCTTACAAACTAACCAAAAAACCTCTCATGTCACAAAAAAATATCGATGACCGTCTGAAATTTGGAGAACTCCTTCAGAAAAGTGGCCATTTGAGTGAAAAAAGACTTGGTGAAGAATTGCGCAGTCACATCCTTTGGACTGACGAATCTATTATTGAGCTATATCCAAAATTGAACCAACAAAATGTTCGTTACAGGACAGAAAACAAATCGGATGTACCATCAAGAGCAGTCCCAAAATTCGGGCTTAAAGTTATGGTAGCGGGTGGATTTTGTGCACGTGGCGTGACTCCTCTACATATCATACCAAAAGGCCAAACAGTCAATGCAAAGTATTATATGGAAAAAATATTACCTATCTATTTCGATAGCATGGGGAACAAGGAAATATTTCCGAATGAAGGAAAAATAGTTTTCATGCAGGATGGTGCTACAGCCCATACAGCAAAAGCGAGTTTGAGTCTCATCAAGACGCAAGTTTCAACGGTCTGGAGCAAGGGGGTGTGGCCCGGAAACAGCCCAGATTTGAATCCCCTGGAGAACCTG